ACACCTTTCCAGCTCCCAGTGCAGAGCACTGCACTGGGAGGGTTGCTCTGGGGAAACGAATTCCAGCTCAGCCAGACCCAATACAATCTCCACCCTTATTCCACACCATTTGTGTCAGACCCCACATAATTTATTTATCTTCTGACTATTCCATTGTATTTTTTCCTCATTACTGAGATCCCTCCTTACCAACACATGCTACTTAAACTACATTCCTAAACTGTCTTTAGACCCAACGTACATATTTATACATTTTCATTAACTACTATTCCCTGCCCTTTCACGGATAGGTCTTATTTTCCCATTTTCATGGCCTTCTTCCACCCCTCCAGATGTTGGGCTCCATTCCATCAGAATGGGTACTCAGGACAGGAGAAGCAACACAATCATTGGGCACTGACACCAGCCTGTCCCGGGTCATCATCGCACTCTCCTTCCTCCTCACACAATTGGTTCTTCATTGGTTCATGTAATTCCTGCTACTTTACCTCCTGCAACACACAACTCAGAACACAGATCATCTTTCCCCCAAGGTTAAATCTCCTCGAGGCACACACCAGGTCTCCCCATCTTCCCTCATTACCTACCAGGTACACCCTGGTCCCTGAGCAAAGACAATCCCACGGATGGGTTTGCCTTTTCTCATGGGAGGAGAACCCCACACTGACTTCCCCCCCTCACTTCCCCATGTGTAGTACCAGGACTTTATCCCCTCCCACAGTGTGTAGAGGTTTGGTTTGGGCAGGACCAGGACGGTTGGCAGATCCCCCAGTGTTGACCAGCCAAGTGACCTCAGCTAAATTTGCCTCCCAATGTTTCCATGTGCCATTACCTAATGCTCTCAACATGGTTTTCAACAGTCCATTATACCTCTCAGTCTTCCAGAGGCTTGTGGGTGATAAGGGATATGATAGATCCATTCGATGCCATGTTTCTTTGCCCAAGAACTTGTGAGATTATTCCAAAGTGAGTCCCATTATCTGATTCAGTTCTTTCTGGGGTCCCATGTCACCACAGAATGTGCCTCTCGAGGCCTCAGATGGTGTTTTGAGCAGTGGCCTGGTTTACAGGATATGTTTCCAACCAGCCAGTTGTTGCTTCCCCCATGATGAGTCTGTAGCTCTTGCCCTGGTGTGTTTGTGGCAGTGGTCCAATGCAGTAAATTTGCCAGACCTCACCATATTGGAAATCCAATCCCTCTATTCCAGGCAGATTTTACTTGCATGGCTCCCTTAATTGCCGCAGACGTGTCACATTCACGAGTGACCTGTGTGATGGCCTCCATGGTCAGGTCGACCCCTGGATCATGAGTCCACCTGTACCTTGCATTTCTTCCCAGATGTCCTGATGTTCCATGGGCCCATCAGGCTATAAAGAGTTCACCCTTCTGCTCCCAGTCCAAGTCTACCTGGGCCATTCCAATCTTGGCAACCTTATCCACCTGCTTATTGTTCGTATGTTCTTCAGTGGCACGACCCTTGGGCAAGGGAGCATCGATGTGATGCACTTTCAGAGTCGTGTTTTCCACCCGTGCAGTGATGTCCTGCCACAATGCAGCAGCCCAGATGGCTTTACCCCTGCGTTGCCAATTGGCCTTCTTCCATTGCAGTAGTCACCCCCACAGGGCATTAGCCACCATCCAGGAATCAGTGTAGAGGTGTAGCACAGGCCATTTTTCTCCTTTGGCAATCTTTAGGGCTGGTTGGATGGCTTTCATTTCTGCAAACTGGCTCGACTCACCCTCTCCTTCAGCAGCTTCAACGCCCCGTCGTGTGGGACTCCACACAGCAGCTTTCCACCTCCCATGGTTTCCTACCACTCGGCAAGATCCATCAGTAAACAGAGCATCCCCTCTTTCATTTTCTGGGAACTCATTATATGGTGGTGCTTCTTGGGCATGAGTCACCTCTTCAGGCAGTGCTCCAAAATCCCTGCCTTCTGGCCAGTCCATAATCTCTTCCAGGATCCCTGGGAAACTGGGTTTTCCCATTTGGGCTCGCTGTGTGATCAAAGCTTGCTCCACTTGCTCCATGGAGCACTGGTTGCATGATGTACTGAGGGGATGTTCCCTTTGAACATCCAGTGCATCACAGGCAAACGCAGTGCCAAGAGGAGACACACTTCGTTCCAGCAACTGCTGAGGTGGCTCGAACCCCCTCAGAGGCTGCCAGTATCTCCTTTTCAGTTGGCTTCTGATCCTCGATAACCCCGGCTCCAAAACCCTGATGGTTGACCTCTGGTTTCTCCTGGTGTTCTGTGCCAGAGGGTCCAGGTGAGACCATGCTCCCCAGCTGCCGTGCAGGGGATATTTTGCACAGCTGGTCCTGTTCCAACAGGCCCCAGAGCTACTGCACGGGCTGTCTCCTGTTTGATCTGCTCCAAGGCCTGTTGTTGCTCAAGGCCCCACTCAAAATGAATTAATAAAGAGCATCCATGTCTCCCCCCCTCCTCCCTGCCCTTTCTCCCTTCCTTTCTCTCAGTTATTGCTGATCATGCCATCCCATGGAATGGAATATCCCTTGGGTCAGTCCAGCCCAGCTGTCCCAGCCATGTCCCCTGTGAAACACTTGCCCAGCCCAGCCCATTGGGTGGGGGTGGTTGCAGAGACGCTTCCTGTGGGGCCAGCACTGCCCAGGGACAGCCAAAGCCTTGGGCTGGGACCAACAGCGCTGCAGCCACGAGCACCAACACAGCAGGACAGGGGCTGCTCTGGGCAAGGGGAACTGCAGCCCAGCCACAGCCAGGGCAGTGCTGCTCAGGGGGCTCTGCCAGCCTCTGCTATTCTACAGTTCAAGGAATCTTTCCTTGGAGAGCTCTTTGAAGGGAGAATAGAGAGAGAGGCAGAAGTAGAGCTATCAAATGCACCAGTACAAACACAGCAGTTCCTGTGAGGAACATCTCTCTACTGAAATCATGGAAATCTACTGGACAAATTTGAGGACACAAGTTTATGTGTATGTGGTCACATCATTGACTGGGCCACAAGGAGGGTGATGGTTGGGTAGAGTATCAAGGGGTCAGTTGTGCCTCAGGAATTCATCACCCAGTAGGAAGCTGGTGGCTGTGAAGGGGCTGTGAGGTCACTTGTGCCCCTGGAGGGGACAGGCCAAGAGCAGGAAGGTGGCTGGGGAAGGGCCTGTGAGGTCCCTTCTCTCAGCAGGAGCTGATGGCTCAGCCCATGACTCAGGGCTGGACCAGGGGCTCTCCAGCTGCCCCTGCCCTGGCCTGTGACAGCCCAGCACAAGGCCCCTGGCTGGCACAGGCCCTGGGAGATCCCCTCTGCCCGAGGGCCTGGGCTCCCTCCAGCAACGGGGCTTCTCTTTGGGCTGCCCCGTCCCTGGTGCTGAGCGCAGGATGGGACAGCAGCAGGCACAGCTGGGCCCTGTCTGTGCCCGCAGCTGAAAGGAGCAGCCTGGGCACAGCACGGGGAGGCTGCTGCTGGCAGGGCACGGCAAAGGGCCCGGGAAGGCTGGGCACTGGCACCCCCTTGTCCTTCCCTCAGCGTCACCCCCCAAGGCAGTGCCCCCGGCAGAGCCCTGAGCGAGGTGTGAGGGACAGGATCTGCCTTCCCCGGGCTGGGGGTCAGGGCTGGGCCTTTCTGCTGCCTCCAACCAAGCCAGGCTGTGCTCAACATCTCAGCTGCCTGCACAGAGCCTTTGCCTCCCTGCACTCACGGCCCCCAAGGATCTGCTGGAGAGTCCCTGGGGAGGCTTTGTCAGGAATGGCCCTTGGGGGGCTCCTTAATGCCTCAAGGGGCTGCAGGGTTTTCAAAGTCCTTTGGGTTTTGCTTTTGATGACCTCCAGTTCTCTGCTCTAATGGGTCCCTTCAGAGCCTTTGTCAGGAAGGGCCCTCAGTGGGGCTTGTTAATGCTTGAAGGGACTAAAGGTTTATTAAGGTACTTTGCCTTTCTTTTTGACTCTGAGTCTAGGAGAGGTTTGTTCAATCATGTTCTCCAATTATCTGCTTTAATTAGTCCCTTGAGAGGCTCTGTCAGTAGGTACTCCAGGTTTTTTAAGGAGCTTTGGTACTTCCTTTGGAAACTGAGCCTTTGAGAGCTTTGTGCAATCATGGCCTCCAATTCTCTCTTCCAGCGAGTCCATGAGGAGCCTATATTGGGAATGCCCCTCAGTGGGACCCATTAATGCTTTGAGATATTTTGGGTTCTCCTTCTGACTCTGACTAATGGAAAGGTTTGTGCAATCTCCCCTCAGTACCTGAGGTTCAAGGACCCAGCACCAAAAGCCCCACAGGGGTCATTCAGACAAAGCAAGTCCTAACAAACCAGGGCTCTTCCTGTGATTTTCCTCTCGTCTAGACAGTACATTAGGAATGTTGTCTCATGGAATCAGGGGACCATCGTGACACTGCAGGGCCCCATGGAACTGTTTTGCCCACGACGAGGGTCAGCCCAAGAGACACCAACACCAACTTTGGAGAACAAGTGTGTAATTTTACTGCAGTGCAAAGCAGCAAAGAATGACAAAAGGCTGAGCTCAGTAATGCACCTCATCGTTCCTACCAAGAGTGCCTGGAGTGAGTAGAAAAGCTCCCTGCCCAGTTGCCCTCATCTGTTCCCCTCAGCCAGGCCCGCAGGGCAGCGGGGGAGCCCCGGTCGCAGCCAAGGGTTGGAGAACCCCTCCCGGGCACGGGAAATCCCACCCAGGGCGTCCACTCGTAGGGGAGGGCTCCATCTCTGCTGGGAGGGGGTCCAGCTTTTCTGGCCTTGGAGAAACAAGCTCACAGAGCTACGAGTGTGCAAAACCATCTGGCTCCCTTCTCCTCCTGGGTTCCACCCAGAGCCTGGCCAGGGCTTAAGGGGAAAACCAAGGCAGTCAACCTGCCCCATGTCCTGCCAAACAAGGCCAGACATCGACTGCCATGGCCTTGACCACTCTCTAAAGACAGAAAGATAAAGATCACATTTTGCTCAAAATCAGACATAAGATTTGATTAATGAACACATACAAATATCATTCACTAATGAGCTGAGACTCACAGATCTTACTAATACGCACATTTATTTTGTTCATGGGCAGATACAGGGGTAGTCTTTTCACACAGTACATCTTTGACCAACAAACATACACAGTTTTAGCTAAGGAGCAAATACATGGATAAATAGACCAGTAGGTTGGAAGGTTCACCTAGAGTTCAACTTTGGCTCAGGGCCTGTTGTTCAGCCTCAGCACTTCAATGACAGCCAGACAGGGTTTTTTATTACACAAACACTTTCCATATTCATTGGATAGTCTCCCTTACTTAATACAAAGACGTTACTTTGCTTTACATAGTCACCTCCCCATTGCAAGTCCTTAGTTTGTCCTTTGGGGTCTTTTTCAGGGGTCTCTGGTGGATGTTTTTGGCATCTGATGCCCCCAAAGTTGAGGTGTCCACTTCTTGACCTCAGTTCTGAGCAGACACAGTGTCATTACCTTTCACCACAAAGACTGTAACGTTTGGGTCTGATCTTCTCTGGGTGCACAGAGCTCAGCTTCCATCCTGTTTGCTTAGTTACATCCCTGATCCAATTCTCTAGGACCTCTCCAAGATTATGTTTTTCCTTCCTTGGCCATAGAGAAATGTTGGGAGCAGTGTTCTATATCCCACATCAAATCCCTCCTTTTCTTCAGACTAAGCTCCTGAAGGGATAGAGTGTCTTAGGAGCTTTATTTCATTTTACAGCTCAAGGCATTAGAACAGCTACAGCACTGAATTCTGATGCAAGCTGAAATACAAATGCTCTTCCAGCTTTGGGACAACCCTTCACAGGTGTTATTTCCACACAACCAACACCACCCCGTTCCTTTGGGGACCGGCCAAGGATCAGTCATTTCCCCAGCAGGAAGGGTTTGAGGACATTGGGGGTGATTTCCCACAAACGTGCCCCTTTCATTAACACAATCCAGTTCTCCTGTCCCTTTAGTGGGGGTCACAGCTTTGGACACAGGCAGGATTGTCAGAGGTGGTGGGGGATACTTGCACACTAACTGCTGGGTCTACTTTTTGGTGAGCACAAGTGCTCACCCAGTGACCAGGAATCATTTCTACCAGAATAGTGGAGGCATAAATGGTGAATGGTTTCTTGTCTTTTCAGGTAAATGAGTGCACACCCAACAATCCCTTGGAGGCAACACTTGGGTCACATTTGAGACTAAAATGAGATGTAAATTTTGCTCCCAAGTCAAGACCCAATTAACTATTGTCAGGAGAGCAAAACAAGACTAAAGTATTTTGTTTCTCCTCAGACAACCTCTCAATTACCCAAGGGGCTCTGGCCTTTGGAATTCTGGAATAATGCATCCATGATTTGACTTCTTGTACCACTTCTACAATCAAGTGGGAACCTCTGTCTGATGACATTCCCAAATGTACCTCGAATCCAGGGATTCTTGGATTCAACAGTATTCCACTCACTTCCCTAGCCCAGTTGGTGTCACAAAGGAAAACCTCTGGCCACCCAGAGAAGGTATCCCCCAAGACTAGGAGATCTTTACACCCCCCTTTTCTGGGCAATTCAGTCAAATCCATCTGCCAACATTCACCTGGAACATTTCCACACTGTACATCACCTATTCCCCCTGCATTGGCAGGGTTGGATCATTTCTCTCACACACCACACTGCTGACTCACTGCTTGTACAACTGGGGTCAGTTTTACACCCCTAACCCACCTGTGCAAATGTTACAGTACAGAGACGAATACAAACACAAAACAATGATCAGTGGATAAAACAAAGCCAGACACCAAATTGTGGAATACCCAATAACCCACCCAAAGTGCTGGAAGATCCACACATCTTACATGAGCAGGATTCCCCAAAAGAATGCCTTATTATCCAATGGGATCTTCCCCACATCCCAGACTGGGCTGGGGATCTGTGCTCTTCTCCAGGAAAGTCCTGGGGCCGGCGTGAAGATCCAGAGATCCCTCGGATCCGCGGGAGATCAGGCACAGGGTCCCATCTGGGGGCCAGAAATGATCCCCACAAGCAGCAGAACCCAAGCCCTTCACCCCAGTTTGGGGTGTTAAGAAGCAGGCATTCTTTAGGGCAGCGTGCTGGACGCCTGCAGGAGAGTTCTAATCCAGCCTGCTCAGGGACACAGGCAGGGCTTGGGATTACACACACTGATTCCAGAGGCATTGGATATTCTCCCTTACTTAACACACGTCCATTACTTTGCTTTACACAGTCACATCCCTTATTGCAAGCACCTTTTTGGTCATTTGGGGTCTTCTTTGGGGGTCTCTGGTGGGGGTTTTGTCATCTGGTGCCCCCCCAAAATCAGGTGTCCCCTTCTTGACCTCGGTTCTCAGCATCACTGCTTTTCCCCACAGACCAGCATGTTTGGTTTGATCTTCTCTGGGTCCCCAGAGCTCAGCTCACATCCTGTTTGCTTGAGTTCCAGCCCTGATCCAATTCTCCAGGACTTCTCTAAGATTCTATTGTTCCTTATTTGGTCAGAGCAGAATATTGGGAGCAATGTTCTACTTCTCCCAAACCAAGGCTCCCCGTGCCCCATCTGCTGCCAAACAAGGCCAGACATCGACTGCCATGGCCTCAACCACTCTCCAGATACAGAAAGATAAAGATCACATTTTGCTCACAGTCAGACATATTTTGTTAATGAACAGGTACAAACAGGATTCACTAATGAGCCCAGACTAACAGATCTGACTAATAAGCACACCTGTTTGCTCAGGAGCAGATACACAGGTGGAGTCCCATCACACCACATTTTTACCAACAAACAGACCCAGTTTTAGCTGATGAGCAGATACATGGAGACACAGCCCATTAGGTTGGAAGGTTCATCTAGAGCTCAGCTTTGGCTCAGGGGCTGTTGTTCAGCCTCAGCACTTCAGGGACAGCCAGACAGGGCTTTACATTACACACACAGTTTACAGGTTCATTACAGAGTCTTGCTTACTTAATACAGACACTTTTAGACAACATTTGGATCACATTTGGCACTAAAAAGAGATGTAAATTTTCCTCCCATGTCAACAGTGTTTGAACTGTTGTCAGAATAGCAAAACAAGAGTGAAGCATTTTGTTCCTGCAATAAGTGGGAACCTCTGTCTGATGGCATTCCCAAAGGCATCCCAAATACAGGGAGGATTGCATTGAACAATATTGCAGTCTCTTTCCAAACCTTCTTAGTGCAACAAGGAAAAGCCTCTGGCTATCCAGAGAAGGTATCCCTCAAGACTAGGAGATCTTTACACCCCCCTTTTCTGGGCAATTCAGTCCAATCCATCTGCCAACATTCACCTGCAACATTTCTACACTTTACATCCCCTATTCCCACTGCATTGGCAGGGTTTGGATCATTTCTCTTACACACACCACACTGCTGACTCACTGCTTGTACAACTGGGGTCAGTTTTGGACTTATTATAATCCACTTGTGCAAATGTTTCAATGATTTGCTTCAGTCCAAGGAATACCCTCATGTTCCCCATCCAGCAGTTCACACCAGATTGGTTCAGGGACTATTATTTGCCCACCTGGGGTAACTGCCCAGCCTCCTGGAGCAAATTTTGCTCCTAAAGTTTCAATGAGCTGACAATCCTTAGCACTACACTAGTTTTTTTTCTACTGGGAGAGGTATCTCTGTCAGGGTTATTAAAGACAAAACTTTACTCTCTAAAGTGCCTTTTTCTGCAGCCTCTTTGGCAGAATTATGGGACAAATGATTCCCCAGTTCTGCTTTGGTCTTCCCCTCTTGGTGCACTCTGCAATGCAGGATAGTAGCCTCTGTTGGTTTCTGGAGATCTTCAAGCAAGTCCAAGGATTAACTTGTTCTCCTTGACTCAATCCCCAAGCTGGAGTGAGCACAATTGGTTCTGCTTTCTGGGCTGAGGCACTGCAGAGGAGTGCCCCCAATTCCATGACCTGCTGGGGGGAGTTCCTGTGCATCCAGAGAATTGTTTTCCACGCTGGACAAAGCTGCCCCCACTGGGAAACAATTCCCAACCAGGACTTTCCCAGGGGCTGTCTCCTGAGTCAGCTCTGCCCGAATACACTTCTCCTCTAGTCTGGAAGCAATCACTCTCTGGGCTTCCTTTGCTGGGGCTGGGGGAGTTGACAGGTTGCTTCTTTCCTTCCTGGCCCAGCCTCCCTTGTCCTTGGAGAATTCCAAAGCCCAGGGAAACTCCTGGGGTCTGGACTACTTTCACTTTTTGTTTGGGACACCCCGTATCCACCCAGTCCAAGGAAATTCCACAGTGTCTGATCCCAACATTGCTGCTCAGCATCAGTGGCTATCAAAATATCATCCACACACTGGAATAAGGCTCCAAGAGGGTTTTGACTTTTCCATTCCTCCAGTTCCTTTGCCAATTGAGTTCCAAATACTGGGGGGCTATTTTTAAACCCCTGCAAGAGGACCACCAAAGTCAGCTGGGTTTTCCTCCCTGTTTTTGGATTTTCCCAGTTGAAAGCAAAAAGCTCTTGACTTTCACAACTCAAAGGGAGACAGAAAAAGGCAGCTTTCAAATCTAATACTGTGAAATACATACTAAACTTTCATTTAGGGGAGTTAGCAAAGTGTAAGGATTTGCTATGACTGCTTGTATATCCTCTACTCGATTATTTATAGCTCTGAGGTCTTGGACTAACTGGGATAGCCTTCCATTTGCCCCCTTGACTGGTAAAATTGGAGCATTACATTTAGATTCACATTCTTTTAACAAGCAAAATTTCATCAATTTTTCTACAGAGAGAGAGAATCCCTCACAACTTTCCATTTTCAAAGGCTATTGCTTTGGCCTGACCAGCCCTGCTCCAGGTTTCACTGGAATTCTCACAGGTTCTGCTCTTTTGGATCATGGAGGCACCTCTCCAGCCCATCCTACTGGAATCACTGCATCCCCAAGTGACGTTGGCAGATGGATTAGTTCTGCTTTTGGAGACTCTCATGCAAAACTAGAATCTTCCACAGAATTAGGCTCTGCAATAATAACTTATATTTTATCATTTTTAAATTGGATTGTGGCATTTAATTTTTCCAAGAGATCTCTCCCAGGCAGAGGTTTTGGTGAATTGGGGAAATACTGGGGAGCCAACCACTGTTTTCCCAGTTTTAAATCCACAGCATTAAAAATGGCCCAGTTTCCCAATTCCCTGTCACACCAGACAATTGTTCCAGAATTGTGACTTGAGTTTCATTTTCCCTTATTTAAGACAGGGGAACAAGTTCCCACAGCCACAACCAATTGTACTTAGCTTGGCTGGAACCAGATGTTCTGATGGAGAAGAATCCTCTGGTGCCCCCTCAGTCGTCTTCAGTGATGCCAGAAGAGGGTTGGGAGGGTTCTGAAGTTTCAGTTGTGGATAATCCCATTTCCAGTGTCCATCTTTCTTACAGGATGCACAGGGATTGATCCCAAGTCTCCTGGGGGGGATGTTTGAAGCAGGCTGCCCATGCTCTCATCCTCTTCCTCTCCCCGGGGGCACCATTTCCTCAGGGATTTCTGAAGCTCTCTGCTCTCTCTCTGACACATTCTCTCTCCTTTTCTTCTGGACATGCTAAAGCTGCCTCTTCACATGCCAGTTCCCCTGCAAGATTGGTTTCTGCATCTTGATTTTCTGTTCCCCCACTCAACCTGCCCGTGGGGCCAACCAGAAGATCTGAGTCCTCCTCTTTATTGGGGAGATGATGAGAACAAAGTTCTCCTGTGCTCCACACTGAACAACAAGGCTTTAACCATTTCCCTTGATTTTCCTTTCTGGGCTCACACCAAGGGCTCTGAGGGCGCTGCATTCACACCACAATCCTTCTGCCATTTCACAGGGTTCTGCAAAGTGAAAAACACATCAACACACAGAACCTCCTTCCACTTCTGTTCCTGTTCTGAAACAGCACCAACTGTAACAATGGATTATAATTCAATGTTCCAGAACAGCCACCCATTGATTACAACACTTCATTAAATTCTCCCTGGGAGCTGTTCCTCTGAGGGGGCTGCCAATCTTCATCCAAAATTGCAAAATGCAACAAAGTGGGGATTTCTTCACAATTCCCCCTTCAGATTGCCCACTCCCCATCTCTAAACACTAGACCCAAAATGTTACAATACAGAAACAAATAAGAACACAACAATATTGATCGATAAAACAAAGTCAAATACCAAATTCCAAAATAACCCACCCAAAGGGCTGGAAGATCCACAGGTCTCAGATGAGCAGGATTCCCCAAATACCAAAGAACCCCCCCAGTGCGCTGAAAGATCCACATGTTTGACATGGGCAGGATTCCCAAAGAGAATGCCTTGTTATCCAGTGGGATCTTACCTGTGTCCCAGACTGGGCTGGGGATCTGTGCTCTTCTCCAGCAAAGTCCTGGTGCTGGTTGAAGATCCAGAGATCCCTCAGATCCGTGGGAGATCAGGCAGAGGTGTCCTGTCTGGGGGGCCAAAAATTACACCCAAAAGCAGCAGAAACAAACTTCTTAACCCCAATTTGGAGATGTTAAAAAGGGCATTCTTCTTTGTTCAGCATGCTGGAGGTTCAGAGGAGAGCTCCTCTAATCCAACGTGCCAAATGACAGACAGGGCTTTTTATTACACACACTGTTTACATGTGCATTTGATAGCCTTGCTTACTTAATACATATTCATTACTCTGCTTTACATAGTCACACCCCTATTGGAAGTCCTTTTCTGGTCCTTCTGGGCCTTCTCTGTCATCCTGACCTCAGTTCTTGAGCAGCACAGCACCACTGTGCTTCTTTTATCTGGGTACACAGGGCTTAGTTTACATCCTGTTGGTTTGGGACATCCCTTATCTAATTCTCTAGGACTTCTCCAGGATTACATTGTTCCTCATTTGGGCACTCCAGGGTACTGGGAGTAGAGTTTCTATTTCTTCTGTCAATGGTTTGATGGAGACCATGAGGAGCTGGGAACTCGTTGCAGGGAAAAGAGGGAGCAGTGGGGAAGTAACAGGCAGGTGGGGGAGAGAACTGTTCAGAGAACAGCTGAGATACAGCTCGAGCAAGGTGAAAACTAAACTGTCATTTGGGGTCATCCCAGATCGATTGGATTTCAGAAATTACTCAACACAGGTGCCACCTCCTCCAGCCAAGCCCATTTAACCCCCCCTTCCCCAGGTGGTTCCTTTGCCCATGAGCAGCAAAGCTCCCACTGCTTCTGCAACTGGAGAGTGTTGGAGCCGTGGACCATTAACATTCCAGTCTCTCCCAGCTCTGCATCCCAAAAGTCGAGAGGGATCAGTCTGTCACCTCAAAGTGAATCAATCCCATTGAAAATGGCTGGATCCCATTCCAAAACCTCTGTGTTTCTTATTTTCCCTATGTAATTCTGGGGCAGCCGGTGCCACTCCTCAGCTCTCAGCAGGCTGAGGCTCGGCCTTGCACTTTTGCCTTTGCTGGATTTCTTCATCAAATATTTCTCTCTCCCTGAAAAGAAACATATGGAAGGTTTTCAATAATCTGGACATCTTTAGACCATCTGGACAAATGACAGTTTGCAGTGTTGGAACAGCTCAGCCAGAACGTTTTCCATGTTTAATCATTTGTTCCCATCCCTCCCAGGAGGGAGGACACTGAACTCTTCCACAGAAACAGAAAACTAGTAACAAAAATTCAGAGACTACTGAAAACGAAAAATACCTTTTGCTCACAGGTGGCCCTTTCATGTCCTTCTCTTCTGCCTTCCTGCAATCCATGTTATCCACGGCAGCAGTTGCCTAGATGATGGCCCAAAAAAGCTTTTTAATTCATTTATAATCATTCCAGAAAACTGAATCACAGCTGGGGTGTGTGTAGTCGGTTGTAGTTGGCTTCCCACCAAACCCCACAGACTACAGCAAAAACCTTCCAAAGGAAAAAAAACAGAATAGCAAAAGCTATAGCAAAAATATATATGTATTTTACATATACCACAGATATATATAATTAAAACACTGTGTACATATAACACGCAAACCCCAAACAATCCCGAAAGGGAAAAGGATAGGGAAAAGGAAAGAGAAAGGGAAAAAAGGGACAAAAAGGAAAAAAACCAAACCGAAACAACAGAAACCCGAGGCAGGAATGCACAATTACAATCAGTAAAGAACTAGCAAAAGAATATCTTACTACTCTCCTTGGGACAGCAGAATCGCGCTGAACGACCGCCGGCACCCTCTGCCTCCCAAGGTCTACAAGGGCTCACTAGACCTCACTCCCCCACACAGCAGAACCGACAGCAGGGAACCTGTGCCTTCAGAACCACTGGAAGGGAAGAGAGCGAAGGCTTCTCTTCCCTTCTTATTTATACCCTGGCTTACGTAAAAATCATAGGGAATACTGGGAACATGGCCACTTCCTTGGTTACAAACTGGTCACCGAGGAAAGGCCCAGACTAAAACTACCAGAGTGTGGGAGACCAAACAGGTGTTCAGGCTGGAGAGCCAGAGGCAGCTCCCCAGAGAGAAGCCTCAGAGATAGCGATGGAATCCATCAGACGGCGTTGGGCACTCTGTGAGACTGAGAGAAGAAGCTGCTAACTTCAGGGGAAGGATACCTGCGGTGAACACCTGCTACCAAAGTTAAAAATGAGAAGGAAAAGACTGTTTTAGCTAACCCTACTTATGAAATATGAATTAATTTATAATTAAGAATGACAGTGTGTTGTTAGAAAAATTTGAATAGTGTGGATAAGTTAGAAAAAGTGTGTGACAGTGTGTTAAATAGGTCCATGCGTGCCTCCTTCCCTGTAGCCTAAAACTTCCTGCGCTAGGTGGGATAAAAATGCTTCAATGTAAACATTGCATGCTTTTTTTCCCACCATTCCAGGCAACTCTGTTCCCTTCTACTGGACAAAGAGGACAAAAGAATAAAACCTCTATTTTTAGTGATGCAGTCAGATTGTGTAATTTAATAGCCAACAACAGTAAAAGAGTTTATTACTGTGTCAGAAAAGATTTTAGGCGTCGGCATTTGGTGCCCGAAGTAGGGACTTGGTTCTGATTCCTTATATTTAGGAATGGACCAGGAATAGCAGGTGGTGGTTACAGGTCCCTTACCTCGGTGACGCAGCGTGATCGAACTCCGGAGATGGTGCCAGAATCCCTCGCTGCAGGACAGGGAGGTGAGCGGTCGTGAACAATTTAAGAATAGTCAATAATTAGAAGAAAATCGTAATAATGGGGTTAAATATGTCCTCTGAACAAAAAGATGTGCATGAATTTATGAAATGCCTGTTCAAAGAGCATGGGTCGAAGGTAGAAGATCTACCACTACAGAATCTGCTTCTTTGGGCACAGAAAACTCAACTCGGTTTAACTGTTTCAAATGTTTTTAACGTCTCAGAGCGGGATCGTATAGGAATTAAGCTCTGGAATGCTGTGACCCAAGGGGACAAACAAGTGGCCAGCATCTTGAGACTGTGGCACTTAGTCTTTGAGACTCTACAAGATAGATCTTCTAAAAAAATGCCACTCCCGGAGCAAAAACAAATTGAAAAACCCGCCGACTCACCCCAGGAGGTGGAGAAAGGGGGAACCAGCTCACAAGCTACGGAGCTGCCACACACGGAAAACCCTCACCCCCAAGTGCCCTTTGCCATCGCAGCGTCCGTGGGAGGGGGGCTCTCGGGAGGCACAGCCACCGCAGACGCGGGCCGGGTCCTGCCACATCCATCCACCCTTCCGCCCGTGCTGAGTCCTGAGCGAGCAGACACGGCTGCTCTGGTGCCACTCGACTCCATTCCTCTCCCTGGGAAGCTGGAGAGATCCCCCCTCTCTCCCCGCCAGCTCAAGAATTTCCAACTGTGCCACTCCAAGATGGCGCCGGGTCCCTCCCAGAGGGGAGGGGCGAGTCCGCCCCAGGAAGTGAATCCTGCCGTGAGGTCACTGCTCTGCGCTTCTGAGTTCCTGCCTGCTCCAGTTCCGGGTGGGAACTCTTGGGAGCCGTGTCCTTACAATCCAGGACAAGAGCAAACTTTATTCCCTGCCGATCCAAAAGACAGACGGGCTCCTGTTAGGAAAGCAGCAGCAGAGGAAGGAGATTTGCATATGATGCAAGCCTTCCCAGTTATCTTTACAGCCGGTCAGCAACCCCACTGGGAACCTGTCCCATATCCGGTTTTAAAAGACTTACGGCAGGCTGTTATGGAATACGGGCTGGAGGCTCCATTTACAAGAGGGCTTTTAGATTCTTTGTTTGGCACCTTTGTGCTGACTCCTTATGACTGTGCAGGAATAGCGAGAATGCTCCTTACTACCATGCAATACACATTATTTGAAGCAGAATGGAAAAAGTAAAGTAAAGAAGCAGGCAGAAGAGATGTCACCTATGATCCGAGTGCCAATTGCACATATTAAAATATTCTTATGGGGGAGGGACCTTATGCGACAGCAGCAGCTCAGGCTCAAATCCCATTGCTTGATTTGACTCTTGCTAAAAATCTAGCTTTACAAGCACTTAGGAAAGTACCAGACACAGGGGCGGCTCCTCTATCATGATAAAACAAGGTGTTAAGGAACCGTTTATGCAATATGCAGAGCAGCTACGAAACGCAATAAACAAACAAATAGATTATGCTCCAGCACAAGAAACTGTCCTTTAAAAATATAGTGATAGAACATGCCAGTGAAGACTGCCAAAAAATACTGCGTGCATTATGTAATCCTACCATCACAGAGATGCTTGAAGCCTGCAGAAACGTAGGCTCACAAGCTTCCAAAACTGCTTCTTTAGCAGAGGCACTGGTCACCTTTAAAGACCCTCCTCTAGATTACGAGCCTCAACCAGATTCCCAGCCACAACCATTGTGCTGTGAGTGTGGACAGAAGGGACACTTTCAAAAAAATTGTCCCATGAAAAAACACAGTGCTAAGCCTGCAATGTGCCCTCGTTGTCACAAGGGGAATGCCACTCCAAATATGCAAAGGATGGATCCCTATTGCATCATCCAGGTAAAGGGAAGAAGCCTTCGGGAAACTGAGATATGAGCGTGCAGAGAGGTCGTGCAAAGACAAACATAGCCTCCAAACTTCAAGCCTTTCACTTAAGCCAGCTAGTTCTCTGCAAACACGCACTGCAGGCAATGCTGGAATAGACTTGAGCCCTTCGAAATCCTTCAAACTCTTTGATAATGAAATACATGTAGTCTCTACAGGAATTCAAAGTCCTCTAGAGGATGGCCACAGCGGTTTGCTGATAGGTCGTACATCAACCTCTGCACTAGGTGTGTGCATACTGCCTGGAATTATAGATGCCAACTTTGTGGGAGAGAGAAAAATAATGCTGTGGACACCTGCACCCCCTGTCCATATAGAGGCAGGCACTCCCATTGCTCAGCTTATCCTGATCCAACAAAGTTTAACTCGAATCAGGGAGAAAGGCCAGACTTTAGCACAACAAAAGACAGATGGGAGATAGATGATTTTCTCTCCTGGGTTCAGCCCTTGTCAGCACAATGCCCAGTTCTGCATTGCTCCTTATACAATTCTGGAGAAAAGAGACTATCCACCTGAGAGGTTTGGCAGACATGGGTGCCAATGTGACCTTGATCTCTATTCGAGATTGGCCACCCTTCTGGCCGCTTATGGAGCCAGAGAAGGCACTGAGGGGAGTGGCAGGAGTTACAGCACCACAACAAAGCTTGCATCCAATTACAATCACAGGCCCTGAGAAGCGTACAGCCACAGTT